CTATTATTATGTTGTATTGAATTTGAAATTAATTTTGTCCTTTATAAAAATAAAAAATATTAGTTATTACAATATTTTCCATTATAAGATGCATTTGAATTAAATATGGTAAACATATTCAGATGTTATACACATAATTTTCAATTTACATTATATATGGAAAATTAGTAAATTATAAATTTTAAAAAAAAAACATATCCATGAGTATTTGTAAATACCTGCATGTATCTCAAAACCACATATACTCGTCTGGTGGATACCCACATAGGTATAGGAAGGATACAAGTATCATATCTATTCAATGGAACGGGTAGAAGGAGACTAGGATCCGTCCCCATAGATATTCATTGTCATCTTTATCCTCAGCCTAGATTTAGAAGTATCTTTACCTTAAATGTATCTTTAGTTGGACTGATATGTTGACTAAAATTATGATAGTACTCTTGAAGGAGATGGTTAATAATTTGAGCATTTTTCCTGGTAGCTTTGCAAAATATCATAAGGTTATCTGTAAAAAAAAAAGTGTGTCTAGGAATGGTTGTCTTCCAACTGATATGCAAGTCAACTTACCTTAATCCCACAACATAGATAATTTCCTAATAAGTGCATATTCAGCAATGCAGAAGAGCGGAGGAAAAAGAGGATCTTCTTGCCTCACTCCTCTAGAGCAAGAAAAAATCTTATAACTTTTTCATTTATCATTATTGATAGATTGTATGAGTGTAGAATGGTAAGAATTCAATCACAAAATCTTTTGATTAAAGCCAAATTAAACAAGAACTATGATAAGATATTATCAATCTAAAGTATCAAAGACTTTTATAATGTCTATATTCAAATTCATACTACCTCTAAAGGATATCATGTCCAACATATTAATTGCTTCTAATGTAATCACAGTGAACTCGTAAATATCCATGCCCTAATGAAGCATTTTTTGTGTTCTAAAATAATTTTTGGAGTTAAGATGGTCAACCTATCTACAATGATCTCAGTGATGATTTTGAATTGAAAATTTGCAAGTGCAATAGGTTTACACTACTCAATAGAATTTGGTCCATATTTTTTAGATATCAAAGTCATATTGACTGAATTGAGATTAAGAATGATCCAACCTTGTTCAAATAATTGATTAACTGAATTGATCATATCATACCCTACTATATACCAATAGACTTGGAATAAACATCCCCTTAAGCCATCAGAACTAGGAGCAAAATTATCATCCATATTATGCACTGAATTCTTAAATTCCTCTGACTAAGCCATTCTGGTGAGATATTCATTATATGCATGAGCTATAAGTTGTAGGATAGTTATCTTCCTCATATCAGTATAACTGCATTTTTTCTAAGATAAACAATTTCTTATAGAAATTAATGACGTGATTATCTAATTCAATGCCCTCCTCTAAAAAAATATTTCCATGCCTAAGTCTAGTGGTTTTGTTACTAACATATACCAATTTAAGTGTGTTATGAAAAAAATTGTATTCCTATCTTCGTCCTTAAACCACTTACTCCTTACTTTGTTCTTTTAAAATTCGTTATGCATATGCAATGTCTTACCTGAAAGAAGTTGAGCATTTTTTTCTTCCAAACCAAGATCATTATTGAAACTTGCATCATTAATTAAACTTTGTGTCATGTTAATTTCATTAGTAGCTTAAGTGACTTTAAGATGAATATTGGCTAATGTCTTTTTGTTCCATTTCTTAATAATATAATTAAGAGCTCTCAAGTAAGCAGATAAAATAAATATAAGGAAACCAACTTCACTAGTATTCTAATTATTAGGAATCAGTTGTTTGCATGTATTATCTAGAGTATAAATCTTCAGAAATTTGATTGCCCTAGCTGAATCAAACCTACATTTGTCATAATGGAGAAGAATAGGGTAATGAATTAAGTGATTCTTGGTCAAAGTGGATCAATTGATTATGTTCCAAATATGTATCTAATTCTAATTATAAATGGCTATGTCAAGCCTAACAGAAGAGTAAGCACCATATTTCTTCTCATTAGTCCAAGTGTAATAGTTATCATTAGTGTCAAGATGCATAAGCTCATTTTGATTATCCAATTAAAAAACTCATCAGTGAAAGTTTTATTTGTATGGAAATTACAAAATTTCCCATGGAAACCAACAATTACATTGAAATCACCTATCATGCACCAAGTGTCAGGATTAGTCTGTTAAAGATAGGTAAGTTCATTCTATAATTATCTTTTAATCACATGAGAATTACTTGCATATAGAGTTACAATGAAGAATTTAGTTTGATTAACTTTTATAGGAAATATTACTATTTATTTTAATTGAATTATTATTCAATACATTTTCACTAATACTTTGGTATTAAAAAACAATAATTTTTCTTTTGAAAAATAATTATTCAATCTATGACATTGATTCTTGAAATTCTAGTATGTCAGAACTTCAGATGTCCTATGACATATTGGGATATATGATCTGACATAAACAACACAGGAAAGTTATAACAAACAAAACGGTACTCAAAAATAATAAATAACACACAGAAGTTGTTAACCCAGTTCAGAGCAACTCTCCTACTCTAGAGACATACCAAGTCAAGAACAAATTCACTATAATAGTATTAATTCATAGACCCTACAACAAACATACCAGTTTATGATATACTTTATTAATCACTATTCATGTTATACTTCTATCTAAGACTCACCTAGATATGAGACTCTCCTCAATCCCTTATCAATCACAGACAGTGATTGGACAACAAACAGGAAGATATACTTCCATGACAGCAAAACTGAAGATACACTTCCATGACAATACTCAATCAAGACCTAAAGCTAAACTTCGTCGTTTACAACTTTACTCCTAACTAAGAACGCAACTTGGAGTTGCTTAAAAGCTTCCTCCAAGAAGTATACTAAACTCATTGCCTACGGGTTTCTGAGTGAGAACACAGTGACCATCTCATAGCCCGAGTGGTTCACTTACACCAACTCTCCTATAGAGTGGCTACAATGATAAAGCCCTAGATTTCTACATCTTGAACTCGTACCAAACTAGGTTACAAACCCTTCTATTTATAACCTATTTTCAACTGGACTTGGGCTCCTAATCACAGTATATCAGCTGTTACAAACCGACAGAAACTTCTGCTACAAACAAGCTATTCAATCATTAATTTCCTAAATTATCTCTATAATTAGAAACTACATATTCTTCAATATTCTGACTTGATTCTTCTTGGCCTTTAAATTAGTGCCACATGGGATTGCTTAATATTTCTAAGATATTTTGCATCTGTTAAATCATAACATAATCCACTAGTCCAACTCAGTTCAGACGCGATGTCGTATACTCCTTCATAGGATATCTTATATGACATGTTGTTCCAGATGATAAGAACTTCTCATTTCAACATGTCTCATCATAAGATAGGACTTCTTGCTCAACTTATTCCTATCAGCAAGTTAACATACCCTATCTAACATATTATTGTCTTATTTATATTACAAAAATTGATATCAATCCTAAAACTAGAGAACTTACCATTCTTATTAAATCTAATAAATAAATATTATAGAGAAGATACAAAGTATTTTATGAATTTTTAAAATTTAAAAGGATTCAATGAATTTTGTTTATCAAAAAATAAAGAGTAATTAAAAAAGATGATAGATTAATTTTAAAATCTAAAAATGTTAATTTTTTTAGTAATAAAATGATACTTGCACAAATAAATAATAGTGATTTTAATTTCATATTCTCTTAAGTAATTTTCTATGTATATTTAAAGAATACTTTTAAATAATTTTCTCGTAATAAGCTTGTTTTTGGAAAGTTGATGGACTAAAGTAAATCTACAAAGGTTGTGAGTCCGTACTAAGGAGGCAAGAATGAACATGGACTCTTATATAATCAAGATGAGTTAATACAATCAAGATTATACAATATGTAAGATTATATCGATGGTTGAACAGTTTTTTACCAATATGAAAATTGTACTATAAATTATCAATTTGGTTTTTGACATGTGAAAATATTTAAAGTGGTTTAACTTTAAATGAAGTATACTCTTCTTTAGGTGGAGTATGATAGTTTTTAAAATTATGATTGTCGGTGAAGACAATGTAAAAAATTTTGAAATGGTGTAGCTTCAAGTGACCATATTTTATATGGTGGAGTATGATTGTCGGTAAAGACAATGAAAGCTTATGTACTATTTTCAATCAAGGTGGAGATTGTTGGGGTTAATTAAAAATATACATGTCGAAGAACTCCAACATCGGTTAGTTTTGTGAAAGAAAAGGAAGTCCAAGGTTATATATAAGATTAAAGTTCTTCTCACATCGCCTAGTTTAATAATGAAAGAGAGAATCCAAAGCTATACATAGATTTCAAGTTTTTCTTTACAAGATGTATCAGTCAAAAGTATTTTAAGTTTGTATTTGACTTTTTATATTTTCTCTTATACTCTTGTTTTAAAGTGTTCTGAGAAATACTTAAATATTTGCTTTGAAGAGTGCAGGTGTATTAAATTTTTAGATAGTTGAAAGTAGTCTATGTGTTGTAACAGTTTTCACATAATGATATTATCTGATTATCATTTAACAACGGTCGTGTTTTTTCTCTAATTTTAAAATTTCCACATTAATCTCTTATGATTTTACTTTATGTCTCTTTGGTTTATTTTTCCGAACTTGTGTTTTTACTTTATGTCTCTTTGGTTTATTTTTCCGAACAGATCTATGATGCCTTCCTCAAACCTAAAAGGTCTCTCCTTCTACCATTATGTGGGAAATCACCTTAATTAAGGCATTTGACACTCTAATGGTTCTACAAGTTTCGTTCCTTTGGGAGCTAATTTCAATTTGAGTTTATTATATAAAAAGTTACAAGATTTCTGTATCACTTTTTTTTAATATAAATATATACTCATATGCAACTTCACCCAAATTTGAAGTGGATTAAGATCATTTTAAATATCCCTTTTTTATGGGACCAAACTAGTTACAATTGAGAACAAATAGTGCAGTTCCATGCATTTCCACTTCCGCTGATAACACCCCTTGCGTTATTACAATGTCTCTTCCACTCCACACTTCCCTGCCTTTACAAAAACTTAAGTGTCTCCCAACCAAAACCTTAAATAAGTTTGATGTATGTACAGATATAACTGCCTTCTGTTCACTTAGATTGAAGAAAGCAACATACACTTCTCCTGCATAAACATACAACTCTTGGGTGTTAGAAAAGCATAACAAACAATTCTTTGTTGTGGCATGCTAGTTCAAGAGCCTAAATGAGAATTCTCAAGATTTATCTGTAGTTTTTGTTAACTGACCTGTTCTTCCGGTTGCTACCCAAGCGCGAAAACCACCAGAATTAACAGTAGCTGCATAAATGACCAGCTGGCGTTATGAGTAATGATAAACTAATAGAAAAACAATGATAAACATGAGAAATTGCACAAGGATAATATTTCCATAAAGTGGTAAGTATTTGCAAATTTCACCTTTAACAGGCTCTACTGTTGCACATAAGCCTGAATAGCTATTTACCAAGGTCCCATTACGATTCAACCGCCACATCTGTTAAAGACTGCATAGATCAACATCCAATAGAATATACAGATTCTAAAAAAAAGCATGCAAATCAAAAGGTTGTCTCAAGAAGATTGTACGAATATTAGCACAGAACGACACAACGTACCTGATTTGCATCCCACCTGCAGGATGAAAATGTACCTCTCTTGAACTCTTTGGAAGTAAGGTTTTGTTTTGGAGAAGCATCCAAGCAAAATTTTATTCTGTCCAGTGCAACTAAATGATGATAATCTTGATATATATTCTCTTCATCTCTGCATCAATATCAATACGACGACTTCTATTGTTAACAAGAACACAAATAATCAAATCAAAGTGAAGCAAATAGAGCATAGAGTGACAAGACAAAGCATGATTACAATGCAAAGTTCATTTCCCTCTTGTGCATGCAGAAGGGGGCAAGATGCTTGTTTCCTAAATTCCTTTTCCAACAGATTCTTTCAGGATATTGACTAATACTCTCACTAGTCCAACCACTTGCCTTTGACTCAGAGCAGCTAGTGAGGCCTAATGAATGTGTATATGATCCTTTTGTTTCTCTATAGCTTCTTCTCTTTTGCTTTTCAGAATCCTGATCTTCATTCTTCAAGCTTGCAATATAAGGAAACTGCTAATACCATAAAATACATTAAATTAACAAACATATTATGTCCCTTTGCCCCAAAAAAAAGTTTGATGGATCACATACCTCCATATTATTTGAGCTAAAAGAATTAATCTCCAGCAGGGTGGGATTTGTGATAAGACCATATGTTGTGGGATCAATCTTCCGTACATCGCCCCCATACATAAGGGGAGACTTCGCCATTGCCCATAAGGTCATCTATGTAGGAGTACATTCACCCAGTTTCTTTTGATAAGGTACACATGTCACATATGAACAAATGAATTTATGGGAAAGCAACTCAGTTATGATTTTATTAATACCTGTGTCCGCTTCTCTTCTAGGTTGAGGTTACTATACCTACGTGGACCTGTATTTGACGCTTCAAAAAGAAGAGGTGAAAATTCAGTGTCATGATTAAAGGGTCATGAGTGATATTTATATCGGAATAAGAAAAGGCAGCAACACAGCCTTATTACTGCTGGAAATTTAAGACGGGTTTTTAAAGAAAACTTTAATTCTCTTGGCAAAACAATCTCAACGAATAGATCTTGAAACCATTAATCACAAATCGAACATCAAATTAAACACCTTTAATGATTTTTAAGATTACTTCTAAAAGTGTGATTTAACTATGATCACAGATGAAGAAAATATTGGATTCTCTTTATAGTCCGCGTGAGCACAAAACGGAACGGGATGTTAGTCATTTCATGATTTGTTCAGTTGTCAATGCTCTACGTGTGTCTCGTAGATTCTCATTGAAATGATAAAAAAGCATAGTCAATCAACATAGACTGAATAATAGGGCTTACTCTGACAACTAGTAGGATCAGTTAGCCATCCAAATGGTAGCATGTCCAAATCCGGCCATGAGTTCCCCATTAAACTTTTTGCCCCTATCATATGCGCAGCTGCAAAATCTCTGATTCAGAATTAAATGAATTAAATTTACTTCATAGGATGATGGAACAACAGATCACAGTTTGAGAAGCAGCAAAGTTGCAACATAGAAAGAAATACTTTGAAGCAAAACACAGTAATTTAACCACCTTGATACATCAAAATGAGATTTGACATCCCCCCATGCATCCCAGTCATCCCCCGTTATGCGATACAAATTGACCAGTCCACTGACACCCTTGGCCATGGCTGGTGTAACTTTGGCTCCAGGAGACAATGAATAGACAATGGGGCGATCAAGCTCCCGGAGAACCTGCAACCATGACATGTCATATGGTAAGTTTGCCAATAACCCCGGCATGATAGTCCTAATGTCAGTGCTTGTATGAGAAAGAGAAGGACGTGGAAGAGGGAGAACTGTATGATACCTCTGATACATAGCTTATTTCATTTAAATCCAAGTCATCGCCAAATACACAGTCATGTTTCACTGCAAAAAAAAAATTGACAATCTATCAAAATTATTACCAAAGAAAGGCATAATACTTTACTATAGTTTAGAGCTATTTTGCTTTTATGTAACCCCTAAGGCCCTAAGTAAAACATGAGCAAATGACAATCTTTGTTTCCACAGTTGCACATTTAGTAGTTTTCTATCTGCCCAAAGAAGAGGGCTATGTGGATTTTATAATTAGTTGGAAGTAGAAGTTTTGGTGATATGATATGAACTAATTAGTCGATGTTAATGGCTTATCCAGTAAAAACCAATTCTATCTAATGAAGTATAAATGATAATCTTGATGAAAAAATAGTATATATAACGAGCCAAAAAAGGGGAAAATGCTTAACTTTCCCAAGGTTGGTGAAGGCGATGCAATAAATTGTATAAAATATTAAAATCATGATGGTTGTTATCCATGACATGACTATGTAGTATGTAGTGACAAAGCATAAAGATTGTAAAAAAGAAGTCTAGTTACCAAAATCAACATTCCATGAAGCATACTGCTGATAAAGGGACCTCAAAAAAGCTTTGCCAGCGCCCAAATTTGTATTTACACTCATGAAACCATGAGGCATCCATGCACAAGCCCTTTCACGGATTGCTATATCTTTTGCATACCACAGTCGACCAGATTCTTGATAAGCCCCTCCCTAAGAAATCGAAAGGGAAAGGGAAGGAAGTAAAACGAAAAGCTTGACATTAAGGTAAAACAATATCATGATACCTAGCTGGTAATGTTACTAATTAAAGAAATAGTAGAAGATTTACGGAGCAATACCGTCCTTGTATCTAGAATAGGCGTGTTTGCATTGACAGCTTGTGTGCTTATCCCTCTCATAACATGAATCCCGAACTTCAAACCCAAGCTATGCACTCGATTCGCCACCTGGCTAAACCCTTTCCCGTCACTCGAAGAAGGCCATCTTCCTGGATCAGGAATCACCCTCCCCCATTTATCAATCACATCAAACCCAAGAGAATCATGAAAAGCCCCCTCAACTTTTCTTCTATACCAGAGATAATCCACCACAACATACTACAAGTGTTTGAAACAAAAATATCATAAAAGTATACCAGAGATAATCCACCACAACATACTACAAGTGTTTGAAACAAAAATACAATCTCAAACACAAGCTATAGTTACTTGGAGAAGACATACCTCGTATCCATGACGATGAAGAAGTTGAGAAATAATTTCGGCATTTTGTAGGAATTCTTGTTCAGAAATAGTCCAGCAAAAGGAATCATAGGAATTCCAACCTCTTGGTGGGATGCTAGCTTGTTGTATGTCACTCTCATATACATTTCTAGATGATACACTGAAATAACACACACAATTTGTATTAGACAATAATTAAACACATTATAAATAAAAGAAGAAGAAGAAGAAGAAAAAAAAGTACCATTGAAAAGAGAACAGAGAAAGAAGAATGCAGAGAGAGATGGATAAACACTTCATTGTGCGGTTGTTCCATCCACACCAACAAGTCCAACGCACTTAAGTAATAATCATAAGAAATTATTAATTATACGCTACTCTAATTTTTTTAGTATAAATAATTCATTATTATCTGTAACCATTTATTTAGACTTTAACAGAGTCGTGACTCGTCGCGGGTGTTGGATTTAGTGAGGACGGTTGCACGCGTGTGGTCTTGTTTTCCTTCGCGTCATATGTCAATAAATCACACGTGTGCCTCTTGTCCAACTATTATCACCTAGTAAAATGAAATATGGATTTAGCTCCACTAAAGACTAATGCTAATGCTACTTGCTAACTTTAAAAAAGTAAGGGTTTATATTTTAATTATCTATGGCCGTGTATCCTTTTTTCATAAAATATTGTACGAAAGATTCTTTAAAGGGAAATTTAATCAATTACTCATTAGTTGTTTAATCTAATTTTAAAATTGATTAGAGTTTCATAAATTATTGGAAATTGTTACATGTTGAATAAGTAGCCTATTTTGATCATATCATGTCAATATCGATGCTATAATTAATGTGTATTATTGTAATAGAATAAATGAAAAAGAATAACAGGTACATACATACATGTAATAAAACTTAATGATCTATGTTAAAAGAAATTAAAGAACTAATCTAATAGTTAAACTATTTAAAGGGCTGCAAAATAATGTAGCTCGCATACAAAGGTAATGACGTGCAAAATTAGAATAATAGATATACTAGATGTCCCAAGTCACAACTCATTAGATTAATAGATATATTAGAATATTAGATGTTACAAGTCACAATTCATTAACCACAAATTCGATTGTAATTATCTACAAATTGTAAGTGTTAATATCAATGTAGTTTACAAGTATCCAGAATAAAAGGCAATATAATTAAAATACATGAAAATGAAATTATGGTCAACGTTCAAATCTGTGATTAATGATCGAGATTGAATTGATGGTTATATGCACTCTTAATATTGAGCTGTATTGACCACATGTTTGGTTTATCATCGAATTAGATGTCTAAAATTGAATTTTCAAATAGCATTCTTGTTACATGAATAAGCAAGACAAGCATACCCCATACTTTTTCCTTTCTTTAGGGTTTAGATTCTAGTGACCTTTGATCTTAGTAGGGACTGGGTCTAAGGTTCACTATTATGAACATATTATGTAAAATATAATTGGCTTGACAGTAATACCAATTTATTTATTTATCTATAATATGGAATACTTTTTTGGTGCAAATAATATACTAGTAGAATATAGAATACTTTATTTACAAGCTTAAAATACTTTTACCTGAATCTGTTTCGTCGAGTGAAACAAGAGTGTATAATGATACATTTTTCAAAGTAACATTGTAATGACTGCTAACAAGTTTCACTTGGCACTTGTTTGCTTAGAGACACATTTAAATGTATCCCCTTTTTTTAAGCTTATATATATATAAGCTATACCAGAAAAGCCTCTAATTCGCCCTCACATTTTACAGCTAAGGGCTCTTACATAAATAATCTTTTGAACAACAAAAGGAACTTAACAACATTTAATTCATCAACAATTTGCACTTTTTTCTCAGTTCAAAAAATTGTCAGTTTCTTTTCAAGAGGAAGAAAAGTGGACATGAGGTATTGCTACATGTTAGATGAAAAGAAAAAGAAAAAAAAAACCACCAGGTTTCTCGGCAAGGAGAACCCTCAATAGTAGGAAATCTATTCTTTAAAGTGATAACCATCAGTCGAACCTCATTTGCTGCAAGCCATTACATCTTCTCCAAATCTCTATTTACTGTCCCTCCTACCTCAGGGTGAATTAACCACAGACCATGTTTTCACACTTTACCATAGGGATATATATAGAACTCATAACTTAGATGGTATAATTCTTGGAAATGTGAAAGTCCCAGTGTAAAGCATCAATAAAAATAGCTACGGTCAGGCTTTACACATGCAAGGAGTCAGAGGGTTCTCCCACAGGTCGTAGTTAGGGAAAGTCTCTTCTGGCAATCCCGTCCGTGTCTGATGAGTCACAATAACATCTTCTACAAAAGGAGCCCAACCCATGTACGGATCCCCAAAAGACTTGGACATTAGTCCTTTGTCAGGCTTAATTGACTTTAGACGGTGCCCCATGTATCTTCGGGCCCCAATTATCAGCTTAGCAAAATTGCCTCCATGGGTCATCACAAATACATCTGACTTCAAGCACACTAAGAAATCAAGAGCTGCAAGGCTCGTCACATGCTTTCTGAAACCATCTAACTCCTCTTTAGTTGCTAACTCCTCCTTTGTAACCTAACATTCATCATATTGCAAAAGTAGCAAACGTATAGGTATATTAAGTTATTGATGAATAAATTGAATATAACAAAGAGCAAGAGATCGTTGCATCATAGCTTGACAGCTTAAAGATTCTAATCAGTTTAAAGAACTTCAAGGCAGAGCACTGTGCTCATTTTTTATAACTCACATGGCAGTAGAAAGGTCTTACCAGATTAGGGAACATATTCCTTAGAGGAGCCATCCGATTCTGTCCACCATAAACTTGTCCAGAAGCTACGTAAATTTGAGTTTCCTTCATATAGCCCATAGCCCGAAGAATAACAGCCACTTCGCCAGGCTCTAGAGGGCAACGCCCTTCCTTTCGCTTCTGCAGAGCCAATTGCCACAAGTGGGAACCATTCTGCATTTTCAACAATTATGGTGTGATCAAAATGTTCCAAATGAAATTGAGAGAGTTCAAGTGCTCATTTTGATTTAAAACTAAAAAAAATAGTAGTATGGCACCTTATACCGTCGAGGCCATTCCTTTTTTCTATACTCTGCCATTTTAGCTTTCTCGTCTCTTGTCCCCACAAAATCACAAAAAGATAGGCCCACCATTCCTTTCTCAAATCTAAGATGCAATGCCCTGTTTACAGTAAAACTGTTAAATTACTGACAATTAAAGAATGCACCTAAAATCAGCTACAAGTCTTTGATCATGATTGTTACATACATATATGGGTTTGAACTGCCTGTTCTGTTTCTCATCCTCGATGCTAGTAAATCTGCCATCTGCTCAATATCAGGAAGAAACTTCAGAGCATGATAATTGACCCTACATCTCAACTTGTTGATTTCTGAAGGAACATTGTCATATCTGAAACAATAACAGGGGCATTATGACAACATAAACTACAAAAAATAAAATAAAATAAAAAGAGGAATCTAGTATTGGTATCTTCATTGACCTACCCTAGCCTATCAACAAATGGTTTCAGAGCCATAATCTTTTTCTCCTTGATGCGAGGCAGGACATTGTCGATGTAAAATTGTGCAGGTGCATATTTTGGAATGTTCTTCACAGTTCGTCTGAAAGACAACACATTCTTGCTTTGTTAGTCAAGTCAATGGCAGCAATGCTGAGCAATTATTGGAAAATGTTGATAACAGTGGTAATAATTTGCCAAAGTTAAGAGTAGCATGCAAAAAGTTGGATATAAAAGGCATATATAAAGGAGATTTGGTTTGTGTCTTCTCTGTCCATTCACAACAACCCTTGGCCCCTCGAACCAAACCATCATCAATGCAGGATATTCATTCATAGTGAAGAAGTAATTTAAACTCATAATAGTCAAGTTATTTGGTCCAACCACTCGGCACTTAAACCCAAATCCCATGTTAATAAATCCTCGGATGAAACAGAAAACCAACATAAAAACTGGATTTTACATACTGGCACGAGAAATTGTGTTCAACAGACTGAAATAAAAGGCACGTGAATCTAAATCGTAATTGTAACCAACTTGGTTCAAAAGTAACTTTTGTCATAGTTACTTCATTTAGCAACTTCTGTGTAGACATTGAATTGATGAAACTTAAATGTCTACAATGAGTTATTAAATAGACTAACTCTGACAATTTACTTTCAGAGTAGGTGGAGACATATCAAGTGAGAAGGTCATCTTTACGTGAGAGTAGGGGCTAGAAGATATAATCATGAGACTTTTTAAGTAGTGAGACCATTGACCATAGAAAAACATTCAATCTTGACCATCCATAAACAGTTATATGGCTAAGATTTACCCATCTTACTTTCATATAAAGAAGTCCTTTCACTAGATACACGACACATCCCCTGTGCATGTGTGTATAAAAGGAATATAGTTCTCCATCACTTACAGCAGCTTGGGATTAGATTTTTAACAGACCCTAATCAAAGGGACAAGAATCTATCAAACCTTATACTAGAAAATAGCTCTGTTTTATCAGTAAACCATTCTGGGATATCGCGGACAATACGGACATCATACTTTAGGTAGTCAATGAAGTGGTCCACGTCAAAAATGTCTTCAAATTTCCTGTAATTATGAAATGCACCATCATTGTTAGGAATTCACGATCAGAAAAAAGAAAAACCAAACTGATTTTATTGAAAAACTGAAAAATGAACAGAACAATGAGAATTCTCTCCTAAGAGGGTTCCCCCTTTTACAATTGAACTATTGTACGGTTTTTTCTAAATATAATCAAATCCCAATCCTCTTCTACTAATCCCTCCTATATATTAAAATTAGTTTTCCTCGACGATCTAATCAGCCTAAGCCAAACTACTCTAACTCCAGTTTATTCAACACTTCTATCCTAACAATACCATTAGAGGTGTTCATGGTTGGGTTCTAACAGAAATCTGCACCAAACTGAACTGAAAAATAGATCTAAGAAACTGAATTGAGTTGTTGCTCCTTTAAATTGGTCTAGTCCAAACCTATTCTATGATTTAGGGCACTGCAGTAGAGCTTTATTGGACCAAACTGGCTGCACAAACAAAACTGCAATGGGTTAATAACAACTAACGAGCAGGGTGAGTTCGTCACCTATTCACCGCATCGTCTTTTACAAATTTGAGAAAAGGAAACAACGTCATGTTAAAGTTGCTTTTGAAATTGGAGAGGTTTATTGTTGTACTGTGACATGCTTTTGAATTGTACTCTATAGATCGTGTACATACA